ATGAATGCACTTATTTTGAATCTTGGTACTTGTGTTGCATGTTTGAAACTTGAAGTTATTTCAGATTCTGTGATCAGTGTCTTATGGTGTCTATTTGTTTTCCTTGCACAGATAATATTCTTCTTCTTCAGCCTTTCTGCACCAAGGCCCAGTTTTTAAGCGGCAAAGCTAAGGTGGATCTTATCGAAAAGGTTGCAGGTATGCGAGACATCTTTGTTTTTCAGGCTAGGTGTTCCTCTCAATAAATTACACTCACACAGAGGGATTTATTTCCAGTTACTCTAAAACAGAGATGATTGAATCTCCATAATTGTAGTAATTTGTCTAGTAATTTAGTTTTGGTAAATGTCTCGGGTGTTTGACAGTCATATTGGCGTTCCTTTTGGGCTGTGTAATTATAATGTCTTATGTAGGCTGGGTGCTTCGCTGTGCGTGACACTTTAATCAGTCAATCAATACGTGATTAATTTAATGAGTAAGGCTTATCTCCCCAACTGTTTTAATTATTTCACCACTTTGTCTTCAATAAATTTTATTTTCTTTCAATTGTCAACTTTTGTATTGCTAGTAACTGTAAGCCTCTATCATCAGAATGAACAAAAATTAATTATTTATAATAATCTCAGTGTATAATGACTATTAAAACAATGCAAAGTATTTCCTAATAACATCTCTTTTTTTAATCCAACTGAAATGTTTCAGATCATCAGATGGCTTTCATATTCCAAGATCCCTAAGTAAATGGCCAACTGTCTAAATTGTTTAATGATTGAGTGAATAATTAAATGAAAAGCTATCCAGACCAAACTGTTGATGTATGACATACCTGCTAGTTAGTGATGTCTGCCATTCAGTTTAAAGAAAAAACGTCATTGAGGCTGAAACATCTCTTACGTCTTCAGAAATTTTTTAATAACAATAGAAGGATTTTAAGCATAACTTTTATTTAGGTTTATACTCGCCACATTAAACAGGGCGTGGTCGCTAAAAGTGATGCACACTGGAGAAAATCTAAATCTAGATAAGTAATTTTTTCTTAAAATAAGTGCATTTTTTCTTGGATTGAGGAGGTAAAAGAGACATTTTGCCAATGGAACAAGACAATTTACACTTAAAATAAGAAAACCCAATTGCATTGTCTTATTTCAAGTGCATATTATCTAATTATCTAATTTTAAGAGCAAAAATGCTCATTCCATTGGCAAACTATGTAATTTATCTTCTCAAATTAAGGGTAAAAACACTTAATTTAAGAATTTTTTACTTATTTCTAAATTTTTTCCAGTGCAGTGGTGCTGTCCCCGCCCCCAAGCCTCTTTCAAAACAGGGGGGGATTCAGAGGAGCAAGTTTTTCTGTACTGACATCAAATGGACCAGAAGTCTCAAGCGACACAATTTTGTTAAGTGTTGTGTTGCTGTTTAAAAGAAAATAAGCATATTACTGGTATAATTTCAGGGCTGAGTTTTTTGGCAAAGTTTATGAGCACAAAACAAGGATTTCTGAATTCTATTCAGAGTAAATCTGTATTGTCCATCCTAATGCCTTCCTGTGTGCAGCAGATGAACATAACATCGTGTTTAATGTCCCTAGCCCTTTTTTTCTGTATAGCTGCAGCAAACACTTCAACTATTGTTAAACTTATGTTAAAGCCTGGCTTTTATATGGCCTCTGATTGCCGGCATTTTGCATTGAAACTCCAATGGGGGCCATTTTTGGGACAATCTTAACTAATGCAAGAGAGAGAGAGACGTTTTAGGTTATTTGGTTAGGTTCAAGGTGAGTTGCTGATGTTCTCTTGGAGTGATTTTGTTTTGGGCAGCTACTCTCAACATTGCTTCAGTCTAATTTACTGAAACCTTAAATAGCTTTATGGGCTGAACAATTTTAATGTTCCTTTGTTTCTAATTTGTTCTTTGATCTGTTTAATTTATGGAATTATGTATTCTGACAATTATTAAAAAACAGCATTATTAATACTTTCTCTTTTTTCTTTTAAATTATTTTCTTTGATTTTCTGAAACTTTTGTGACAAAAATTCAAAATTAAGGGAAATCTTTAAGGTGGGAAATGTCTTTACAGGGTTCTGTATGGGTTTCACCTTTTGACTGAATTACTGAAATATGAAAACAATTTAAATGGCACTAGTATTATAGCCAGGTTATGGGTAAAACATCTCTCTCATTTTCAATACATTTTATGATGGCAGGCCTTGTTACAGAGCTCTACCCTCGGAAGCCTCAGATTGTGGAGCAGAAGGTTTTGCCCTTATTGTGGCACCTGCTGGGTACGTCCACCCACAGCGGCAGCATCCACGGCCGGGGCGGCAGCGTTCGGAGTGCTACGGCCAAGCTGTGCCAAGCCCTTCACAGCCAGATGGGATCAAGCCTGAGCGAGTGTGCCGCCACCCAGCCTGCTAATGTCCAGAAAGGTCTGAACGAGTTCTTAAAGACTTTAAAATAAAGGAAAAAAGCAACATCCACACAGCTTCATATACTGAAAGAGAGCATTGAGGCTGATCTTACTTGAAAAAAGGAAATGTTCTACGTTTCTTATAGTGCCTGCACTTTTATATCAATATAAACAAGTCCTCAAGGTCTTTGGTTGTTGTAGTTATTTTATCTGTGACATTTACTCTGGTACAGAAATGTTAACACATTGACATCAGGTCTTACTCACACTCAACCTGCTCTCTCTGCACTTTGAAAAGTAGCTTCTCGTCAAAGCTTTCCTCCATTATGTACTGTTGACACTATTACAGAATGTAAAACCGCACAAAAACAAGGTTAACAAGACAGGGACCCAAAGGTGTATATTTTTGATGTTTTAACAGAGATGATGTGATATTTTTTAAACACCAGGCAGAAGATTTGTGACATGAGATTTAAAAGAAAAACAGAAAAAAAGGAACAATATACTTTTGTACAGCTCAGTTGTGTATTTGCACAGTGTTAGCTTAATGTTTAAGTATGGTAAAAATTGGTTTTAATTTATCAAATGTGTGATGGTCTACAACTCATGATGTGCTGAGTTTGTACTCATTTTCTTTGTTTGCATGACCGAATCTAAACAAAAAAGAAAAAAACAATCAAAGCTGTATAATCTTTATGTGAGGCTTTGTATAGACATAAACCTAAAACAAGATTGGAAAAGGGAGTTTTTACACCTGGAATTGCCTGAGAAACAGGAAGAAGTCAGCTGTTTCAGTCTCCGTGTCGTGCCAGTCTTCAAGTAGCCTTTTATCTCCAACGGTAATTTATATAGAGCTGATTTGTGAACTAAAAGAGATATATGAATAAACAGTTTTATTTCCCTATTACCGAATGCACTGTGTTTCTTTCAGGTACAGCAAACATGTTTATTAAAAAAAAAAAAAAAAAAAGTTAGTTTCAGATACAAGCTGAAAGAAGTGACGTCTTTTTCTCTGGAAACTGCTTTTCACTTTAAAGTTTTGTTCTGTAAATTTGTTATTTGTATTATTTTACAATACTAAATTATGAATGGAAAACAAAACACCTCGATTGAAATTTGATCTAAAAGCTAAAATATCTCTTGAACTTGAAGGCTTTTAAGAAGTACACTTGTAAAGAAAACTAAAAATGTGTTTCCAAATGTAAAAACTTGGAGCCCTTTGAATATAAACACGTCCTAAGTTTCTGAACGTATGAAAACAATAAGTATGCCAGGTAATTATTAAAAACTGAAATCTATTTTTAAGAATTAATACTTAGGAAACTTGTGTCTAGAATTTATTATTTTGGTGACTCGAAAAAAAAGGATTCTAGTGACTTTACATTTTTTCAGAGGTTAGAGTCACCTCACACAAAGAGGATGAGGAGGCGCCTTACTCCACAGTTAGTCATTAGTAAAATAACATTTACTGTTCACAGAATGCTGTATCAAAGTATACTAATGGAAAATGAAGTGAAAGAAAAAAAACTTAAAACCTTATCATGGGCCTCTGCTCCAGCCAGTCACCACCAAGTCCTGTAAGGTTCTGCTTAAAGCTTTCTATTCACTCTCCTGGTGTTCAGCTGAGCATCGACCCCATCTCCTCCTGGCTTCCTTTACCTCTGGCCTCCACTCCACCATCAGTGCCTGGGTTCGGTGGAAGACTAATCGAATCCGAATCAATTATCATTTAACCTCATCGCTGCTTCCATGTCTTCCGCTGCAGTCCGAGCACCAAAGAGTTGCCAGGTCCATCAATAAATCTCTTTAATTGCAGAGGTGTCAAGTGACAAACTACAAATACTTTATTACCTTTAGTAGAAATTTTGGCTATTACAGGAGTAAATATTTTTTAGAAAACTTTTCACTGCTACTCTTTACATTTTTATTTTTTGGAATCCTCTCCAATTTCTACTCCTTACATTCTAAAAATAGACTTGTTAGTTGTCTTTCATTTAAGCCCATTTTCATTATAGCCTGTTGGTTTAAAAAAAAAAAAACATCAAAATTATCAAAACTATTTCTTTGTGGTTGGACTCTGTCCTGCACCAACTTGTTGTTCACCACATAGCAAAATAAATTGATTAAATTTAAGATGGACAGTTAAATTTGAGTTTTAATTAGTAATAAAGCTAAGACATTTAAGTATTAGGAAGTTATCATCCAGAATTGTAGAAAAAAGTTTCTTTAATAGGGTAGTGCAGTAGCCAGTATAAGGTTTAAAGCATCTGTCCTTGACATTTTTTTTCCTGCATTGCTTTTACTTTTATACTTTAAGTAGATTTAAAAGTGGTATTTTTACACTTACTTGAGTTGATATTCTAACTTCCACAAGAGTGTTTTTGAACAGTAGAATTTATGTTTCTGCTTGAGTAACATTAATACTTTTGACACCTCTCTTTAATTGCCACTTCTGTGTGTGCCAGACTCTGCTAAAGCAAGCTTGGCTTACGTAACACCTCAGCAGTACCACAACTGATGCAGTAATTTATGCAAAAACAGCTTTGATTAAGTGCGTGTTGTTCAGTAAATCATTACAAAACGCCACAAATTGTGGATTAAAAAGGTTTTTTATTGGTGTATTAGTATTACTTTTCAAAATAAAATTGAGGATGGATAATGATTAACTTTTCTAATTAAACAATAGTTCAAAATAAACTTTTTTCCCCCCAACTTACAGACATGCACATGTAGTGTTCAATACAATTCAGACTATGAGGTTAGCTGCCACTTTCATAAAGCACTGTACAGAGATATCTGCCTGCTGCAGCTTTTCACAGCAACTGGATCAACAAGTTTGCAGTGTGAAATAAATTATCTTTAGCAAGGAAAGAAGCTACAACCAAGTCTGACTCATAAATTAAATACCTCAACTTATGGCAAAACACATTTAGATTACATTATCAATATAGATAAAAACCAACATGTTTGTGCTGCAGATCTAAAACAGTGAGTTCAAATTGAAGTGCAACTTATATTCTTTGCAGTAAACCTTTAGAAAAGATCAAATTGAGGAAGGAATTGATGCCAATAGCTCAACTCCCTTAAAACCTCTGGAGTAAAAACCCTGCTGCTCTTTATCAAATGTTTTGCATTTAAACATAGAAATAGATTCCTGTAAAGAGCCAAATCACACTGAATGGTACAGAAGTGTTGGCATGAATGCTACTCTTATGGAATGTGCTTCATTTTTCACAAAAGTTTGAACCAATCTGGACAAAGGAGCTAAAATTAAACCTATCTGCAAAAAAACATTAAAATTCTAAACAAGTTTTCTCACATTCCGGTACAGACTAGTTTCCGGTCTTTTTTTTGAGTGTTTGCTATGAAGGAGTCGCTCATAACAATTATTTCCGTTACGTTTTATTTTAATGCTTGGCTGCATTAAATCATAGGGATATCCTCTCAGCTCCGTTGTTTGGGTTGAAGAAATTACCCCTCCCTCCTTCTCCTTTAGACCTTCCAAATCCTGTTTCTAAGGCAGCAGGTTTAATGCCATGGTAACTAGGTCTTTATATATATATTTTTTTTTCATGTTCACAGAAGATGTGCGCTTTCTCAACATTTTGAGCACCTCCTTCTTGTCAGGGACCAGATGTCTTGGGCAGATCCTGATTCTCGGCCAAGTGGAGCTTTTGTCTGAGTTTGGACACATTAAGGAAATACCAAATACAAACAAATAATCAAAACATATTTTCCACAGCGCTTGGTGCCGGTAACGCTGTTAATAAACAAGTGCTTAGTAAAGAAAAGGATACATTGAGGTGCTGAGCTCCTCCAGCTGTGGAAACAAAGCAGTAAATAGATGTGCATTGAAAATCAAACAGCCAAAAATAGAACATTATCTGGTAGATCAGAGCAGCCCTCTCTAAACTTGATCAGATTACATAACAGCCTGTGCTTCCATTGAACCTTTATTACCTGATCATTGTTCACAGAAGCATACGATCAGCTTCTTTTCCTCAAAAAACTAATTTTCTCTCAAGCCCATCTGCTCAAGCCATGAATATCCCCCTGTGGCAAGCCCATGTATCGTATAATAAGCCACATGCAGGTATTTATATTTAGCAAACTTAAGATATCTGCAAGATATGGCACATTTTAGAAATCTAAATTTACAAAAAAGAAACTGTACACATCTCTATAAATGCTGAAATTATAATCCAATAACTAAAAAAAGTCATTCTATATAAAGATGTATGTACAAAGAAATAGTTGGCCTGAAAGGGAAAATATTCTGCTTTCTGAAAGGTTTTAATGCATCTTCGTATATTAGAGATCTTAAAGAAATGCAGAAATCAGGAAAGTTAACGCCTTTACCAAACCGATTTGGAATTAACAAGAAAATTGTCAGTATTTCTACTAATGGCAATTTTTAACACCTACAAAAGACAATTTTCATAATAACTAGCTTAAAGGGATGCTACTGCAACTTTAAATGTAAAATAAAAATGACAAGTTAAAACTAAAAGAATGTAATTTATTTCTCTCACTCAGCTTTTATATAATTAAGAAAGAACGCAAAAAAAAAATTATTGAATTCCTGTTTTAGGTCATCTACTCAAAGGCAGTTCTCTAAGGTAAAAGTTATATGGAGAAAAGCCAATATCGATTTTTAATGGTAGCTCATCTGGAATGTGGGGTTATTGTATTTCAAAACAGCTTGCCATACAGTGCTGTTGAAGCCTACATATTACTACGATGTTCCTGACAGCTGAATCTTAATCAGGGTTTTATTTATTTTATTTTTTTCATCACCTCTCTCACACATGACACTCAAACTTTCCTGCAATAAACACACCGAACCCGGCGCACGGGTGGGTGGGTGGCTGGGTGGATGGGGGTGGGGGGGTGCCAACTGAGCGCCTGACAACAAACTAACAATAGAATCTCTCTGCTCACTGCTTAGAGACAGGTGGTAAAACATCTTTGTTGTATATAGAATCCAAAAAGCAGTTTTAAGTCTCTGCCATTGATGAGCTCATTCCACAAGTTATCAGGAAATGATGGAATCACCATCTAACTGACAGTTTATCCCTTCCCCATTCCAGAAGCATTGTGTCATAGCTCCCTGATCAATGCAGCTGAACAATGGAGATAATCAGGTTCCCTGCTGCTGGACTGAAGAATGTGCTTCACTTCGAGAGCTTAGCAGCTTTAAGCTTCTCAATGTTCGCTTCTTGCATTTAAAGAAGTGGAACCAAAATACCTGCTGAGAGGAGAAGACGTCTCATTGAGAATAACAGGAATCAACTTATTGCATTGATTGAAACTAAATCTAAAAGTTAAAGGAGCCATAATTTTTGTTAAGGCCTGTTTAATGTTGTTGAAGCTTGGTTAAAAACCAGTGTCTGAATATCGCATATTTCAGACACCAACTGTTTAAAGCATTTATATAAAACAAAGCACTGAATCAAAAGCAATAATCAGACAACCTCCGTGATGCTGCTGAGACCTGAGTTTGATTCTTAACCGCTCCTCCATGGGTTACCATGGAACTTAAGACAGTGGCTGAATCCCTAACCATTTATTTCCAGGTGGATCATCTAAACAAGTGGTCCACCTAATTGTCAGTCATTCTGGTGATATGTTTACGCATGGCCATCCTACATGCCCTTCCCCAGTTAAGCCGGCCATACACTGTATGATTTTTTTTCAATCGTTGCATGCAGCTGCAGCTCACACTGAATGACAAACCCGCAGGTTTAAAAGTTCACAGCTCACTATGCATGTTCTCACACTGTGCGATCTACCTGCTCACACTGTACACCTACAAACCACGTCGGACTGAGCGGTGAGATGGCGCTACTCTGACTTGTCTATCTGGAAGCCAAAACAGTAAAAGAAGAATATGAAGCTCACAAGAGTGAAACGCGCTACCTTGGCAATTTGTGCAATTTTGTGTGCTGGAAGCCCTAAAAAGAAAAGACAACATATTTTGACAAAGACATGGCTGAGCAAACATGACTAGTACAGACTTTTAATTTTACAGAAAGACTTTTTTTCAATTGCACCCCCGCCATGCTTCTGCGTTTTCGTCCGAGAGGAAGAAGAATCCTTGTTCGCGCATGCCCACTGAGAGATTTGACAAATAAGGCCGACTGAATTTCAAACACTTTTGATTCCTGATCGAATCTCAAACACACCTCACGATTCCGGATTGGGAAGTAGTCGTGAGTGGCTGATCGCCCCTCATTACCCCCTGTATACTACACGACACACAATCAGGCTAAAAATTGGCCCGAAAAGGGCAAAAATTCGTACAGTGTATGCTCGGGTTTAGCCATCTTTTTCTGTGCACGTGCAGTTTCAAGCATATATGTGGTGAACTACAGTTTCAGCTAATTATTGAAGCTCACCTCGTAAGAAAAAAAGTGTCTACGAAGTGTATGAGAAGAAAAAGAAAGGCCTCAGAAGAGGCAGATACATCACGGAATGCTTTGCGCAGAGAGCTCTCCTCACAAAGCATTATGGGATTTGCCATCACAGCGATTTTGCTCTCTGACTCATGCTGCTCTGACTCATGCTTACGTTGCACAGCAGGTGCTCCAGGTTGTGATCAGATGCGCCCTTCCTCTGATCCTCTGAAAGCTCCTCCACGTGGCTGTCAAGGCTGAAGTGGAGTCGCGCCAGCTTCTCCTGCATCTCACGCACATGTTCCAGCTGCTCAAAGGAGCACACCTTTCCTACAAATCAAACAAACTCAGCTTGACCTCCTGTTTCTGATAAATGCAAAAGTTTTTTTTTTTTTTTTTTTACATATAAAAAGCTATGCAGCTTCTTGATTTCAGCCCGAATCAAATGACAAAGCTGTTATTTCTTTAAGCCTGTAACAGAATATTCCCTGACCGGGCTCCCACATAGAGGTTATCTTACCGAACGCCTGTAATTTGCCTGAGTGGAAGTCATTGAGGAGGTTGAGGAGGCCTCCTTCCATCTCTCTCACATCTGAGACGTCTGTTAGAAAGGAGTGCTGCAGGGGGGATGATTGGACCACTTTACTGGGCCCAGCCGGCTGTGGAGCCCTGGGCTTCTCCCTGTGCACTCTAAGAAACAAACAAACAAATAAAAACAAGACATGTTATCAGTTTCTAAAGCCCGGTTTAACTGGTCAATAACACTAAGATGCAAACCTTGTTGTCTTTGGCGGAGCCACAACAGGTGTGAAAGCCTCTTTCGGCTGTCCCGGTGTTCCTATCGATCTCTTATACTTGCTCCTGTTCTTGGGGGAGGGGGGCTGCGGCAGGCCAAGGGAGAAGGTGGCGCTTTTGCTGGCAGGCAGGACAGAGAGCTTGCGGGGGTTGATGGGTGGCGGAGGAGGCTGAGGGAGAGACACCTTTGGGCTGCGCTTCTTACGCTTGTCTTCCATTGCCGTTCATTTATGCTTGCCAGTTTCAGTCGAGTCGAGGGAAGGGGCAGGAGGGGGAGGACGGCCAGGCCTAGGTGCAGGATGTCCTGAGACAACAAAGGTAGGAAGCTGAAGAACAGAGCCCCCCCTCCATCCTCCCCCAGGACCCCAGCAGAGAGTCTGACTGCCAAAATTAGTACTGCAGAACCAGATCCTGTCTCTGCACATTTGGAGGTGACCGAGTTATACCAAAGGCATCAAAGAATAGCGCAGCAGAAAATCTCAAATCGCACATCCTCCTACTCTGATATAAATAGCTATTTAGGTGAAAGGCTTTATTGGAGGAATTAATTTGTCTCCACAGCAGCTTCCATAAAAATCTGATTATTTCAAAATACTCTTGGGACATAATCATGAGGATATCTGTAAAAGCTTAACTGCAGCAGCAGCATTCATTTTTGACTGTCAGTTGGAGCCATCTGAGTGCAGCACTGCACTTCAGAAAGCCTGTAACACGATACAGGGAAAAGCCTTAAGAGGGCTGAATGATGCACACATTCAAAGCACTTTCCTTTCTAGGTAAACAATTTACAACATTAGAGGAGAGATCCGAAGGTTTAATGCAGCCCTAAATGGATCCTGCTTTTGGGACTTTCCATCACTCACCACAGACCCACCTATAAACTAAATAACTCCGTTATTAATCCTTTTAACATTACAAATCTGAAGGTGTAGCATTAGAATATGGAAACAAACATGGAAGTACAGTTATGGATCTTGCTTCAATGTCATGAGGGTTTATGATGTTAACAGCAGAATTGGACTAAAATGAATCAGAGAAACTCCAGTATTTTTAAATTGCCCTGTGATTGGTTCTGTTTTTTTTAAGATCCAATACTTTCTGTAACGCAGATTCTTTAATACAACATTTCTTCCCATTTGAGCAAACACTGCTGCTGTGGAGAAGTGCTTTACGTTTCTTGTGCAGGAGAACTGAGCTGGCATAAAAGGGCCAGCTGTATACGACACGTATATATAAAGATACGAAAGGTTTAAGGCTAGCGTTCCTAAACTGAAAGACTCACTTTCTCAAGGTCAAAGGCAGTTGTGCAAAATGATCTGCACATTTGATTTGACCCATTTGATTTTTACAAGTTTATGTGGTTTTTGTTCTATTTCTCAGAATTTATCAAACTGTTATTTTCAGTTGTAGGCTCACAATGTGCATTAATATCAACCTCGAAAATATTTAGTTTATTGCATTATTCTGTTATTAAGCATACCTTTATTAATTAAATAATTGGCGGGTGTCTTGACTCGCTCGTCCCTTCACAAAAAGTAAAGTGTTATGGCCCAATTTAAAAATGTTTTCAGATATTTAATCCATCCGAGGAATTAATGTGCTAATTTGCATAAAATATTTTCCTAATTCATAAGTGAACTCGCTCATATGCTTAAAGTAGGATAACAAAAAATAATGCAAATTGACATTTAAGCCCATATAGAAATAAACTGATTAACTATATGGGGCTTTAGTGTATTAAATAAAATAGTAACTTGATTACTTTCTGCAAAAAGCTATAACTTGGTACAGCTGCTCTTGGGCGCCCCCTGCTGGCATGGGAACGCCACAAAACTGCTTTGCTTGCTTATACCTTTGTTTTAAATGACAAGGGCACCATCAGCGCACTGTGGTTCAACCTGTAATGTTTAGTTTTAAGTCGGAGCTGGCATTATAATAACTACTGAGGTAGTTTTATTAATGACTTCATTAGGGCGCTCTTTATCTAACCACAATAGATGATAACACTCAGGATTTATCATTTAAACACTGCGCAAAGTGCAACCCAAAGATGGCCACTAGTAACAAAGGCAACTTTGTACGCATAAATTCTCATTTTCTGGGAGTTACATGCAGATTATATATGTCATGAATGAGGAATAATGTGTGAACAAATAAAAGGGAGCTGTGTGGGTAAATCCGAGACGTGTAAACAGCTTTATGGTCCATAGATGACACAAAGAAGACTTACCGAATCAATTACGCACCACAGAGCCAACCGCCTGGATTCGGTGTCGCATTTCTTCTCCTCTGCAAAGGAAACCGTCCAAGTACACTTTGTAGAAATTAACCTCTAGAAATCACGATGCGGGGTAAATGATCCGAGCGGCTGCTGTGGAGTGGGGGAATTAATAATGAGGTGTTTTAACGCGCGGCATCGACGCGCAGCGGGAGCTGTTCCCTTTATCCGCCTTAAAGGGCCAGCAGCACGCCGAGCTCTGGTTAGACTGACAGCAGATAAACCAAACAGGTGGAACACCTTTTTCCTGTAACCAGAGGCGTAGCCAGAACATTTTAATAAGGGTAGCCATGCAATAACCAATGTAGACTGTTCCAACAGGAAAATTAATGAGCAAAACATCATATTTTTTAAATCTAGACCAACTATACTTTCCGAAAGCCTTTGCTTACAAATAGATGCACATATTTAAACATCCATGCTTCGTAGATAAAACGCATAGTGGATAAAATTCTTTCAGAGTTAAGTTCTGAGGCAAATATCTTTTCCATTGTCATTACTTACCTATTTTATCAATAATCATTCTTCATAAAATTTATATTTACAAGTACTAATATCTACATAAAGCAAATTTCTCCACTGTGAGATCAATAAAGTCATACATTGATTATTTAATAAGTTTTTATTAAAATATTTATTTACGACTCTGATTTATCTAAGACTCCTAGATGACTTGCATTTTCTGTTTTATGTATATATATATATATATATATATATATATATATATATATATATATATATATATATATATATATATATATATATATATATATATATATATATATATATATATATAAAACACAAAATCTAGTTCTGAAAAGAGCCGGAATACTGTATAATCATCTTTAATGTTAGTATATTGATGTGCATAATAAACCACAGTGTTTTTGTTGTCAAGCAACTGTTAATATATGAAACATTTTAATGTTTAGAGCATTCCACTTGAGAGATTACTGCTGCCACCATTTGTATCTGAGGAAAGAAAATGGTAGGGGTGGCCAATGATTGGCTAAAGGTGGCCATGGCCACCCTTGGCCCCCCATCTAGCTCCGCCCCTGCCTGTAACCACCATATTTTGTACCCATAGGAGCAGTGGCAACTGAGCAACGTTTTTTTCCCCATTGTGTCAGAGAAAAAAGAATTAAAAACACAACTAAATAAATAAATATGGCTTGCATGTTGCTTAGGATTTTAGGTGAGTCCCAAAGCAAAGGTTGCAGACCCCTGATCTGACAGATTAAAACTGTGATATTAATACAGCTGGAGCTTAAAACTGACTAACCTCTAATTATTTGTGCAGGGGGAAAAAAATCAGTTATAGACAGCCTCTTCTGTAATCTCATGTCATCACAAGATGATTTGCTATTACACTGCAAAAACTGATCTAAATAAGTAAAGATTTTCCATTTAATTTGTGGACTGGTAATGGTAAACATGATAATGATTTTTTTCCTCTTATAATAAGATATGATGTACTTGAGATTAAGTTTTTCTTCTTCTAAATGTAGATTACAAAAATCATTAATTTATCAAAAACATATAATTTATACTGTTTCTTGATTTATTTTATTTTATGCAACATTAAAATTTTATTTATTTTGAAGAGCGAGCAACATGTACAGTAACACTATAATATATATGTTTAGATTAAATATTACCCTCTTAAGAGCTCCTAATCCCTGAATTCAGTCCAGTACGGTAATTAAAAGTTGTTTTTCTGAATTTGTCATCATTTAATTACTGGAAACCGTATTCTCAATAAGCTCATAACTAAAATTTACAACAGAATAAAAGAAAATGACAGAATAAAAGATTTGATCCCATTTATGAGAGATTTAGGTCCAGCTTTGCCACTCTGCCTTACCATTATGTGCCTTCTTTCCCATCTGTAAAATTTTCTAGATCCTCCAGTTTAAGTTCCTGAGACTAAATATTTGAACCAAGCAGTTCAGGTGGCTCTTCACATGTTTAAATATTTTAAATAACATTTGAGCACTGAAATCATGAATATTATTGAAATACAATAACATAATACGTTGGCTGCTACCATATTATCACTGTACTTTAAACTATGGTTAAAAAAAAAGAGGAAATATTAAAAAAATCTGGTAATTTTTCGTCAGCAGGGACAACAGATCTAATCAGCTGATTGTTATATAGATGGAGATAAACTCAGAGCAACCCTGGAAGAAATCACCACTTGTAGAACCACTTATTGCCAAAAAGACATGACACCAGGAGGGATTCACCCACCTGCAATAAATCATAAACCTACAGTCAAATTTACAACAGCAGTGTTTTTTGATTGAAGTGTTAGAATAGCCCAGAATCTAGATCTTGAATCAACTTTAAAATGCATGGCAAGGATTGGAAGTCCCACTTCATTAAAAGTGGCTAAGCAAAAACGAAAACCATGTCTGTCTCTAGATGTGCAAAGCTGATACATTCCTCTACATTTGCAGATGCTAAAGACTTTTATTAATAAGAAGAAAATGAGAAATTTTCTCTCTTAAACTTTGGTAATGAGCAGTACAATTTTACTCACTTGCTCTACTAAATTAACCCTAAAATTAGAGGAGCTTAACCCCTTTCTGTCTTTACATTTGTCTTCTTCTTACATTTGTCTTCTTCTTATTAATGTCCAGCATTTAAACAGCCTGTTAAGTCAGTGCTGCATAGAGAATTTGTAATCTAACTCTCTCTCTTGCTCTTTGTAAGACATTAACACAGCAAAGGTGCTTATTTCTTGAAATTCACGTTTGAAATCTGCACAACCAAGGAGACATTTGATTTTTCTATTTTAAACAGCCAGGGTTGAATAAATCTGAAACACTTTGTAAAGTAATACAAAAATATTTATTTTTTCTTATGGCAATTCAGGACAAAAACGTGACACAAATTTTGCTTGTAAAAAAAAAATACAAAGCTCTTAGGCATGTTCATCCTGTTCTAATGAAACAACAGGAGCTCTAGCTGACTTTCTGGACTGATGAGCTGTTTGGGAACGAGTATGCTTTTCCTAGGACTATTCTGTCTCTGAGGAGCTTGAAGAAGGCATAATAGTTGCTGAAGAGAATCAGGGCCAGAGATATCGTCTGGTGCCACTTTTCCGAGCAGATCAGCGAGTACAGCTGGTAGAAAATGATGGCGCCTTCGAGGATGATGAGAATGTTCAATATTCGTAAAGGCTTGTTGAAGAAAAACTAGGGGAAACAGAGAGGGCAGGTTAATGTTGAGGTCTTATTTCATTACATTTAACCTCCAACTATCATTTATTTCCCCCCAACATTTTATGCAATCCTTAAAAAGCAATTTGCACATAAGTGCAAGAAAAATAATTGTTTTTCCACTTTAATATGGATAGAAATATAAATTAATATCTATACAAGTACTCTGATACCCATGTATATAATCCAATGCAACATTTTTCCTTGAAAATTCCAAATGTAGTCCATTAGGTTTGACTTTTAATTTCAGTATGAATACAGCAGTTTGAAAGCCTTGGAGGTTTTTTTAGAAAATAGGGAGACACAGCAAGCAGGTCAGGGAGAAAGTCTTGGAGAAACAGGGTTGAGTTAGCAGGGTTACAGGGTTTCTATGTCAACCGGTGGCATCCAAACTTTTGGGGGCTAAGATTGGGTTTTCATTTTTATTAAAGGTTCTTAAATGACATTTTTTCCTTACTTAACAATAAACTATTAACACAATATTATAATGAATAAGTGGTCCAACGGGAAAAGGGATATATAAATGATTGTAAATTATCTCATTTGTTTTTGTGTCTTCTCAGGTTCTGCCAACTTTAATAAACTGGCTAGTTCTAATATTTTTATAGTAAAAGTCACATAATGTATATTAGCACATCCATGACTGATTAAAGGTCCAAATAATCTTATCCTCACATTTTAAGAATTTTTTTCTGTACTGCTTTTGAAAAAACAGCTTTTTTTCATATATACATTCAGAGATATATATATATATATATATATATATATATACGATCAGCGATGATGGTCTGAGCTGCCAAAGTTTTTACCAATCTGCAAGTTGTGATTAAAGGTCAACTAAACAAAGATCCTCTGGTCTGATATAAATCAAAAGTCAATTCTTTGGCCTACATAAAAAAAAACCCTTATTGGTGTCAGAAAACAAAAACTGTACATGTTGGTGAAGATGCTCAGTCATCCAAGTCATTAGCTTAGTAAACTAGCCCCACACGCCAGCGGCCAAAATCATTTTTGCCTGCGAGTTTGGTCTAGCGTCAATCAACGCCCCAGGCCCTAGAACTGGTGGCCCAATCACAACGCAGAGATGTGCTTTGAATTTCTGGACGCAAAGCGGGTGGGGTTTTGAGGGCGCGATGACAAGGAAGATGGCAAGAACTATTGAACTGTTCATCGAGGCAAAAAAAGACAAAATCTAACTGAATCCGTAGCAACATTTATATTTTTTTATCCCATTGAGCTAATTGAGCTTCAGACAGAGCCAAACTAAATCAGTTGCACCTCACAATTCATTAACTATGAATACTTTTAAAAGGCCATACAGTTGCATTTTTAAATAAACTTTATCCAGTGAGACTTACATAAAAGCGATAGTGGGACACATCTGAAGGAACAGCAACATTATAGTGGCCCATGGCTTTATACACGTTCTTATTATGTTTTACCAGGACTCCCTGAGGCCACATGTACTCTTCAGTCCATCTGAAGGAAAAAAGAAAACACACACAGAGTATGACTTACTTTAGTAAAGAAAAGTCTGAACTGAGAAAATGATGTGATAAACAAAGAAGATGACCCACATGTGCTGAAGGACGTTGGAGCAGAGAGAGGGGTCGACCTTCTGCCAGCAGCCGAGGTGGGCTGCAGCTTTGTGAAGCAGGTCGCAGTACCGAGGCGGCAACAAGTGCCTCATGAGGATGACCGATGTGCTGACTGACACCAGTATAAACAGCTCACAGGACCATCGCTTATCTACATACTGAGTGCTCTGCAGAACAAAACAGAGATTATCAGAACAAAAAGCCTGAATTAAAATTAAAACTGATTAAATTCAACAGCAGTTTACCTTTACAAACCATACAGGTACAAAGGCCACATAATAAGCACTAAGCATCGAGCTGACCAGCACTTCCTTCATCCTCCAGTTGAAGTCCATCTTTAGGAACTCCACCTCTTTTCGAATGAGGTCAG